TTCAAGTAATAATTTGGCTGATCTGTTCACTAAGGCATTACCAACCTCAATATTTGACAAGCTGATATATAAGATTGGAATGCGTCGTCTTCGAGACATTAAGTGATTTCTCAGTTGTACTCTTTTTCCCTTACAAGGTTTTGTCCCATTGGGTTTTCCCTGCAAGGTTTTTAACGAGGCAACTAAAAGGCGTATTTCTAAATATGTGTACTTTTTTTTTTCTAATAAGGTTTTAACGAGACACATTATTTATGGACATCCAAGGGGGAGTGTTATGATAAAAATCAAAATATGGTGGATGTCTACTCTTCCTCCATGATCTTTCTCTCAAATGGTTAATGACATATTCAATTACATATTTTCTATGTTCAATGACATATTCCATGACATATTTTCTTCACTTTTCATGCCTATATAAAAGCCTTGTAATAGATAGGAAAATACACCAAAGTGAAAGAAGAAAACACTTCTCCATTCTCTCTAACTCTTCTTGTTTACATTTTACTGCATTGCTTTTATTTTATAATAGTTATGACACTTTAAAGAAATATTTATTCCACTTTAAAATAGTTTAGAGGGGTAATAAAACTCCATAAAGAAAATGTGTGTTGTTGGAACTTCCATGATAGGCCAGCAATACTTATGCCTTTCCCTAATCCTCTAAGGAATACATTGAATATGGGAAAGTTCCACCCATCTAATTAATCTCCGCATGAAGTAGTATTGGTCAAACCTATACTACTTCACCAGTCAAATGCAAAAAGCAACACGGAACACCATGTATCTTTTTCCTACAAGTGCTTTATCTCTATAAACGAAGCAATGGTTTCAGATCTTCATTATAAGAGAGAGACAAAAAAGAGGAGACTAAATAGAATGGCAAAATTGTTTATTAAGCAGGCACAACAGTACTCAAAGGGCAGGCCAAGTTACCCGGAAGAATTGTTCAATTTCATAGCTTCAAAAACCCCTTGTCATGACCTTGTTTGGGATGTTGGCACTGGTAGTGGCCAGGCTGCTCAATCTGTAAGTCTCTCTAATTCCTTTCATGTCTTCATCCCCACACCCACCCTCGTGTAAATCTGCTAAAATTCCTTGCAGTCGGAATTTCGTTAAAGATATTTTAGATTTAATATATATGAACATAGAAAGTAATAGCATATGACCTATATAATATTATAATATAATAACAACAACAAACCCAGTATAATCCCACGGCTAAAATTTGGTGAGGATAGATAATATGCGGACCTTACCTCTACACTGTATTTAGGAAGGTTGTTTCTAATAGACAGTCACGAGAAGCCTATATAATAGTATAATCTGAATATAATTTTTGGGCGAAGGTTATTCAACTAGACACCCTTCCATGGTTGTCGCTCTGCCGCTGTAATATATAGTCGCATAGAAAAAGGTAGAGACCTCTTTTTCTTAGAGAATGACACAATGGTTTTTCTCTTTTTCTAAATAGGCTAAGGGTGCCACCCTTCCATGGTTGTAGCTCCGGTCCTGTCTATTTAGAGAATTGCCTAAACTGATAAATAGTTGCATAACAAAGAGTAGAGACCTCTGTTTCTTAGAGAATGGCACAATGTCTTTGTTTATCTTTTTCCAAATAGGCCTTGTGGGAAAACAAGAAATCTAGCATTTTTAACTTTTCACTGAAACAAGATTGTTAGAGTTCTTTATTATGAGTACCTAATCTTTAGCAGCCATTTTACATTTCTAGACAGTTACAGGCACATAATACTACAATAAGAAGCATATATTTCCCCTGTTAAATTATGATATCCTAAAGAAAGAGTTCAAAAATAAGCATCCTTTAGTGTTCCAGCATAACTACTTGTTGTCCTAAATGCTCTTAAATTATTGTTTCTTTCAGTTAGCTAAGCTCTACAAGAATGTAATAGCCACAGACACAAGTCCAAAGCAGCTTGAATTTGCAGTAAAGGTCCCTAATGTTCAATATATATGTACCTCTCCCAAGATGTCAATGGCCGAAATCGAAACCAAAATAGGAACAGAGTCAAGTGTAGATTTAGTAACAATTGCTCAAGCAATGCATTGGTTTGATCTTCCAACTTTTTATCAACAAGTGAAATGGTTACTCAAGAAACCAAATGGAGTAATAGCAGCCTGGTGTTACACTGTGCCAGAAGTAAACAATTCAGTGGATCCAATTTTTGAGAAATTTTACACAGTTGATGCTGGACCATATTGGGAATCTCCGAGAAAATTAGTGGATGAAAAGTATAAAACTATTGACTTCCCATTTGAGCCTGTAAGTGGTTGTGATCACAATGGACCATTTGAGTTCAAGATTGAGAAAGTGATGGACTTGAATTCTTATTTCACATACTTGAAGTCATGGTCAGCTTATCAAACTGCAAAAGAAAAGGGTGTTGAGCTCTTGACTGATGATGTTGTTGAAAAATTCACAAGTGTTTGGAATGAAGATGCAGAGAGTCAGAAAACTGTGTCTTTCCCAATTTACTTGAGGATTGGCAAAGTTGGAAATTTGTAATGAAAGTGAAATCAGTATTATTAGTTTCCCAATTTGTTGATTAGGGAATTTAGAATCTGCAGTTGATCATCAATTTTGTACTTTCTGCTGGTTGTTTTCTAATAAAGTGTTTTAGTACAAATTAAAACATCTACATGTATTGCACAACTAATGTATAATAATTGATGTTACTGGATGGAGTTATCTTAGCTCAAGAGATGGATGATACTGTTTCATCAAGATTGCTACTCCTACAAACTGTTCTATACTATCTTAGCTCAAGAGATGGATGATAAAGTTACGGCCGGCGAGCGGTGGTCAGTTGGACATCCTTTACGAGAAAATTATACTTTGTCTTTAGGATCTATCACGACCCAAAACTCAACCTGTCGTAATGGCGCCTATCATGGTACTAGGCAAGCTGACCGCTCAGACATTACCAACACTTTCAAATTTAAAGTATACTAGAACACGTTTAAATAAGAAAAAATATCATAAAACTGGATAGAATGTCATAACTCAATACAAAAGTTTTTTCCAAAACCAGCATGTCACTGAGTACATGAGCATCTATACAATACTAACTCTGATACATTGTCTAAGAAAACAGAAACATAATAATAAACTGAGGGATGGGGGGAAGGAGAGTCAAGGTCTGCGAACGCCAGGATAGCTACCTCGGTAATCTCTGAATGATTGAACTCTGTGAATCAGCAACTACCGTGACCGGAAACACCTGGATCTGCATTAGCTGGCCAGTTCTGTTTTGCTTGGGAAGATGTATCAACTCTTGTCATGTTGCCAAATCTTGAAGAGCTCGAACTTAAAAGGAATGCAGTGAATGATCCCATATGGAGATTAAGTGATGAAGACAAGTTGGAAAACCTAAAGTTATTGTTACTTAGTGAGCTAGATTTTGGGCATTGGGAAGCTAGCAGCGAAAGCTTCATAAATCTAAAACGCCTTGTTCTGAGAAATTGCATCAACCTGAAAGAAATTCCATCAGATTTTGGGGAAATTTGTACTTTGGAGTCAATTGAGTTATATAATTGTAGCACTATTGCTGAGGGATGTGCAAGAAATATTGAGCAAGAACAAGAGGACATGGGAAATAATTTCATGAAAGGTCTACATCCATAACAATCGTCACTTGAAGTTTTACATCACTCTTAAAAATTTTTCAATTCTTCACATAATTAATTACCTCATCTTTGAAATTAAAATGATCACTTCTACTTTTTATCTTGCATATATGCAGGGAATTGAAGCTTATTTTGAGGGATCATCTAACGCTATCTTCCAAATGCAGAACCTTTTCATTTGGATTTGGAAGAGTAAATTCTTTCTTTTATGTTCTTATCAGTTGTTAAATTTATATTTTTGGGAATAAACATGTTTAAATGTTTCACTCATTTGTGATTTAGTATTTTGTAAAGAATATAACTATTGGTTATTGCTTCCACGTCTTTAACAGCTATAGCGCATCGGTAGCAAAACTACTTTTTCCCTATGTCCTTGAATTTAAAAAGGTGTCGCTTTATATAGGAACTAGCTTTTAGCACGTCATAATCCTTCTCAAGTTGTTTACTCTTGTACCGGGCTCGTCGGTTTTGAAACCAAATAGCAACCTGCCTAGGCTGCAATCCAGTTTCTTTAGCCAATTGGATTTTTCTCTCTGGTTCAAGCTTGTTTTCTACCTCAAAACTTTTCTCAAGAAACTGAACTTGTTTTGGCAATAGTCGCCTTTTCTTTTCGGGCTGGTGAAAGGATACTTCATAATCCTCGTTGGTATTTTCTTCCTTGTCAAGTGAAGGGAAGAATGACCTCTCTTTAGTCTTTGTTCCTCGGGTATCGTCGAAATTAACCATGGATACAGAGCCTGAAACAGAGCAACCAAGAGAGAATAAGTTCACAAATGTTCAAATTCACACAAATATATGTTGAGAACGTTTTATTCTAATGAATTGAACCATAATGTTTCTACTGCTAAATAAGACCTTTTCCTACTTCAAAATACTGAACTATTAACAAACACCAAAAAAGGAGCAAAAATTGTGCAAAATTTGATCTCTTTCTGGATAAATAGAGAGGACCACAAGAACAAGGTCGCAAATTTGAACATAAACTAAATTAATCAAAAAATTATATCATCATTGTTCTCTGTGATCAAATGACCATAGGCTATAATCTAATAATCATCAAAGGGGTCAACTCACCATCCAACCAAAAACAAAAGTCACGAACTATAAACATACAAGAAAAAGTAAAATAAATACTAGTCTACATTTTTAGCAGGATGAAGAAGATTATTACCATGAAAAGTGGGAGAGGAATTGGAAATTGACCACGCCCAACTATGCCTTATAAAAAGGACAATGCGGTCGTTGCAAATATAATCCGGTTTACAAGTCCGGAGTCGAATCCCACAGAGAACTAAGGCTTAGCTACAGCTGTTCACTATCACCAAGAAGACAAGCTTGAATAGTTCCTAACTTATAGATATTTAGATTCTTGTGTTTAACTAATTGATTAACAAATTAAAATAATAAATTAACAACTAAAGATACTAAGAGTTAGAGACAAGATTAAGGAGGTCTAGAGTTATGATTTCCCCAATTGTCGGAATCCTTCCCGCTATGTCTTCTATAATTTCGCCTAAGTATTCTCTACCGATCATGAGCACTCTTATTACCGTAAATCTCTCCCGAGTAATCACGACAATTTACTAGACGCACTCTCCCGAGCTACGCTAGCTGGCTTTTGATACAGCTCACTTCAGATCGCACCCAAGGCTTCGTTATCCCTAATCCCGCCTTTAAACCCTCGGTTATTGATCCCTCATATACTCTGGGAGTGGTGTTGTTCAACAATTACCTAAATATGCACTCTCTCCCGAGTTATGCATACTAAATAGGCACAGCTAATTGAGAGCTCTTCAATTAATTACAATAAGAACGTAGTTGAACAAATAGAGATTATACTACGGTTCAATTATATAAAAACATAACAAGAATTTATCCTACAAAAGGTTCTATCAAAACTCTAGATAACAAATTAGCTATTCATAATAGTAAGTAAAACTACAATACTAAAAGTCATAACCAACAATGAAAAATAGGAAGAGGAAAGAAAAAAACTTGTAGAAGAATTCCCAAGCCTTGCTCCTATTGTGTCTCTCCTCCTTAGGTCAAATCTATGTCAAAAATATGTCCAATTTTTTTCTTTGCCGGCTTCCTTGGTTTAATATAGGGTTTTGGGATAAAAATCTCGTGTTTTGCACTTTAGTCCCTGAAATTTCCGCCTCCTGCCACTGTTCTACCGCGGTCGCGGTCAAACCGCGGCCAAACATGGCCTCTGATTCTTCAATTGCCTGCGTCTGCACTCTGCCGCGGTTCTGCCGCGATCGCGGTAAAACCGCGGTTTTTCATCCTGTTCCGTTTGGAATTTGGACAAACGTAAAACATAAAAGTTGTAGATATTTGAGTTATCTTTCCAACCATATATTATGGAGCCCAAATGGAGTTCTGAGAAAACTTTTATGTCTATTTTACTAGATAGTGCGCAATATGCCTCTTCGAGTTTTCGTTTTGTTGTTTTATCATCCGTTGATCCCTGAACGCGATCCCGGCTTAATTCCTTGAGCTCTTACTCAGATTTCAAAGTTCCAAACCACTTAAATTCATTACATAACATCTATATAGCTCAGAATCACTCCTACAAGGCATAAAACATATCGTTAGTGCAAAACACTAGCGATTCAAACGCAAACTCAACTAAAGTGCAGTAAATTAGAGTATAATAATCGACTAAAATACGTAATTATAGCTTATCGTCAACACCCCACACTTAAACCATTGCTCGTCCTCGAGCAATCAAACTACACTTTTTTTTATAGACACGGCCTTTTTAAACAATTCTCCTAACTCATCACACCAAAAGTATTTAAAATAGACTAAGCACAAAAGCGTAACATCTTCACCTCAAGATTTGATTCACAAGTACCACGCATTATTAACAACTCACCTACTTACTCTAACATAGAGGTCACTGACATTACCTTTCCTTCATGAATCAAGT